CAAACAAATGCAAACCGAATGCTGTCGAAAACAGTGTTGCGAATCGAATCCACGACAAAACATACAGCTCTGCCAGCCTGCCATCGGAGTGATTCCACTGCTGCTTGTGTGCACAGCCTCCAATCACGAAACACATGCTGCACCAGACCCATGTAATCTTCCAACTGTAACGACACACCAAAACCCTGAAACAACCCTAAGCCCTAAACCTACACCTTGAACCCTAAACCCCAGCCATATGCCGAAGGAACGATGACCAGTGGTCTTCATCAAAAAACCTTCAAGTTTTGATACTGAGGAGTTCAGGTTGAGGTTTAGGGGTTTAAGGGTTTCGGAGTGTAGGGCTGTAGGGTGCAGGGTGCAGGGCTTAAGGTGTAAGGTTGAAGCAACATGTGCTATGGATCCTGCGTGGTGTCCCCAACTTATCTCAGCTCCGCACCTGTCTGCCGCATGCCGCTAAATCCCGTTCGCTCGAACGAACATGTCCTGGGGACCTGAGCAATGCCCAAGTAAAGTTGGGTTGCGAACCAGCAAATGCCAAGTGCATCCGTAATGCCAACACCATGACATGTCGGCAAAAGAGCCGCCTAATTGCAGGAAATAATTTTGTTGCTAAGCTGCGCATGCAGGTGCCGAAAAGATGGCGCCGTGCCCACGCATTGCATTTTCGACAACATCCAACCACCTCGGGGAGCCTGTATTGAATCAATTCTTCCATCGGACTAGTGTTGTTGGCGCTGTTTGAATCGCAAACTGTTTTTGAAAAGCGACGTCTGCGTCGCATGCCGATAACAGGATCAAGCTTCTTGAGCCAACATGATCTGACTATGAGAGTGGTCCACATGGCTCTAGGATGACTTTGGAAGCCAATGCATGCCAATGCCAAACCGGACGCAAGCAGAAAAACGTCTTAAAATGACCGTCCATGAGCATGGATCAGACGATACCTGACATCGGGAGCAAATGAATTGTTTTATCTGTATAAATGAAATCGGAAAGAATGTTCATGTAGTTGAAATATGAATGGTCTCTTCATATGAATACAATGGAAATCATAGCTCTTATAGATAACCTGAAAACCTTTTGAATCAACTCAGGATCCGCACTATTGTAAGCAAGGTATGAAAATTTATCCAAGAAGAAATTTAAATCCAGACGAAAAACAAGAACGAGTAGCGCCAAAAGGAGGTCTCGGGGGCGGATCATGCCAGCAAGCTAAAATCGTGATACATCAAATATCGGATGTATATATATATATGTATATATCATAAACTTATCTGTCACATATATATGTGTATGGAAGACCGACATTACAAGAACAATCATACAGAATCTTTAGAGGATTTTAAAACTTTCAATCATACGAACAAGCAATATATCATGATCCCGGTTCGGCCGGCCCCCCCCTCCCCCTCCCAATGGTTCCTCCTCCCCCCTGTGGTGTGGTGTGGTTGTGGGTTGCTTGCCTCTGCCTGTGGTGTGGTGTGGTGTGGTGTAGTTCGGGAGTGGGTTTGCTTATGCTCGTTACCCACTTCCCCTGTGGTGTGGTGTGGTTGGAGTTTCCTGCGTGGGTCTGGTGTACCACCTTAGGATTCTACGGGGGGATGAAAGCCTGCAGAAAAAGGGCTCCACTCAACGTTTTAAGTTGTCTTTTTCTCGGTCTCGAAACATCTCGACGACCAGCTCTGAAATGAAGAAATTCAAATAGGTTGGTTCTAGATAGGCTTGCACTGCTCTATCACTTGCTGCCATCTTTTATACCGTGTTGGATCTGTAAGGCTTCGCGGCTAGCCCGGAGGTACCAAGGCATAGAGGGCTAGCCAAGGCATAAACTCCCCCAAGGCTAGTCTTTGTGAGAAGTTAGTGAAACTTCCTAGGCTGCTGCTACGAAGGCTCCTGGAGAGCCAAGTGGCAACTCTCAGTGGCTGAGAAGAGTAGGGCTATACGCTAGAGCGGCCAAAATTGCTGGCAGTTTTGGCTTTGAAGGCGATTCGGGTTGCCCGTGGCGGGCAAGTTCCGAGCTCCGTGAAACGCAGGTGAAAGGGCAGGGCTCTCAACGCATCAGAAGGCCTCGAGGACGATGAAGACGAAGGTCGTGGAGGTACCTGTCAGGGAGGGTTAGGGCGGGTAACCGAAGGGGTTAGGGAACTAGGGGCACCAAGAGGGCAACTGAGGCTGGGCCAGAAGGCTAGACGGTGAGCCTGATGCAAGCCACCGTGGTAAAGGAGCAGGCTCAACTTATGTGAGCGGCGGGCCTCGCTGGAGGCTCACCCGCAGTGGAGGGCTCGTCGGCGAGCTGTGACGCTCAGTGTGTTCAAGGCTGAACTCAGGAAGGCCCTGCAGGAGGCTGAGGCCGGGGCCGAAGGCGCCAAGCCTAGGTGTGGGCGGGCGGGGCTTTTCGAGAAAACTCAAGTGCTAGAGCCAGTGCTGCGATGTGCTATAGATTCACATGCCTTCTAAAACATACGTGAACAAAAACACGAAACGTTCTAGATAGGCTTGCACTGCTCTATCACTTGCTGCCATCTTTTATACCGTGTTGGATCTGTAAGGCTTCGCGGCTCGCCCGGAGGTACCAAGGCATAGAGGGCTAGCCAAGGCATAAACTCCCCCACTTCAGGGACAGATCCAACCGGTAAGGCAGCAGGCAAGTATCCCCCACCGCGGGCGGTGGAGATGGACCTGGGCTGTGCAACGAGGCAGGTAGGACTGAAGCAGATTAGGCGTTTTCTCGACATGCATGAGCTCTTGTGCATAGGTCCTTTTCTGCTGTGGGCTGCTGCGAGCTGGGCTCGGGTCTCGGTCAGACTGTCCTAGGCCACAAGGGACTGGGAGTGTCCGACGTGGCTGACCATGTGGCGTGAGATGCGGCCGAAGCGAGGCGCTCAAGGCTAATTCTCACCCTCTCTTGCGGTCGGTGGCTGAAGGCTTGAAGACGTCCTCGGCTGAGATCGTCTGCCCACTGGTTATGCGCTCCTGCGACGTGCGAGACCTGAAGTTCAACTCCATGGCACGAGGACCACGAGGCTATCAGCTGGAGAAACTGCGATAGGGGCCAGCTAGTACTGAAGAGCTTGTTGATCCCGGCTTCCGAAGGCGTGTTGTCGCTCTGGGAAGGCAGGCATACCGAGAAGTGTGAAAAGGCATGGCGTTCTCGGGCTGTCATGGCTAGGGCCAGCTGCGCCAGGGTCTCAGGATTTGCCTGCTCGGCCAGCGTCAGCTCCTTGTACACTTCGGCAAACACGTTTGCCAGCCATGATGCAGCCACCTATCCCGGACGGGAGGCCGGTCCAGGTCACCAGAAAGGGCCAAGAAGCCTCCAGGAAAGCTAAAGCCTTAGAAGGAAGGAGCTGTTGTGGCTCCTAGGCGACTCTTCGGCATTGTACTGCAGCCTCCAGCAAGCCAAGTACTCCTCACAGCTGCTAGCACAGAGTATCACGCCTTTTACTGCCGGCACACTGGAATCTTATTTGGGAGCCTGCAGACAGTTCATGGAGTACCTGGTCCTCAACAGCCTGGATATCATATCCCTGTCGGTAGCCAGCCTGGCCGACCTTCTCTGGGCCTGCCATGCCAGCCTTGAGGAAGATCGGGAAGTTTGTCGCACCGGCCCCAAGCCTATGCTCAAGGCGCTGTCTTGGCTAGCCAAAACCGCAGGCCTACCACAGCTAGCCTCCATCATCTCAGATAGACTTATTAAATCCTTCACCGCTCAGGCCGAGTCGGATAGGAGGGAAGCCTTGCCGCTGCCGCTGGCAGTAGTCACCGCCTGGGAACGCCGCATCTGTCAGCCAGAGTGCCCGACAGAACTATGCCTCCTGCTGGGAGGGTTCTTGCTGGCACTTCACGGTGGCCTCAGGTTTGGCGACCTTCAGCGCATCAGCCTTAAAAGCCTTTCGCTCACGGGCCACAGCCTCAGGGCCGTCTGCTGGCACACGAAGACGACCAAAAGGGGTCAACCCTTCGCAGTCAGGCTTCATGGCATTTCCGGCCGGGACCCAGCCAGCCTATGGGTACTACCTTTCTTGCGAGCCGTGCAGATTGTGTGGCAGCGCACAGAAGAGATCTATGGCGACCACAACTGTCCAGATTTCATACTGCCTACCCTGCACAACCTTCGGGGGTTTTCGGGTAAACCGGCGGCTGCCTATCACCAGCCCATGTCCTACAGCCAAGCCCTGGGATGCCTTAGGTTCTTCATGTGCCACAAACACCTCGAAGGCGGATCCCAGGACCTTCTCACACCCGAAGAGGCGTCCGCCTTTACTATGCATAGCCTTAAAGTTTGCCTTCTCAGCGCTGGGGCTCAAATTCAGGCAGCCGACAAAATACGCCAACAACAAGGCCATCATAAAAATCCCAGCGTACAGCTCTACGGCAGGGACGACACGCTGGGAGCCTTAGCTCTACAGACGGACATTGCCCAGGCATGCGCCTCCGGATGGCGGCCCACTCGCCCCATAGCGAGGGGCGGCCAACATCCGACGGTGGAGCCGCCCTTTCAGGTCAGCTCCTCCCCCCCACCCCAAGCCTTCCCTCTGTCGGCCTTGGGCAAGGGGTTGGACAGGTTCATCTACCTCCGGGAGGCAGAACTTGAGGCCAACGTCCCAGATACTCAGCCGGTTGCACCAAGCCCAGACGAGACCCAGCCTCTGGATACACCAGCTGCGGCCGCGCCGGATTTGGTAGCAGCTCAAAGCCTTCCGCCGACGATACCGGCAGACGACCTCGAGGCCTTGCTCGTCAAGAGTTTCGCGATTGATCAGGCTGATTCTTCTGACTCCGACCACCAGGCCAGCTCCAAGGCCGCTTTTTGCCCCTCGTGCCCTCAGCCTGCCTTCTTCTGCCGCAGAGCGGCTTGCCGACGCCTTCTGGACGCCCTGCCTTAGGGGGAAAAAATCCTACGTTGCCGGCCGAGGTTCGCGTATGCCTTGCTTTTGCTCGAGCCCACTTTTGCAGACGTTTAGGCTTACCATCCAGGCGCCCCTGTTTTTCTTCGGATGGCACTCTTTGACCAGTCGGAGCTGCCAGCTTTCCTGCAATCCCATGGGGTGCATGAGGTTATCTGCAACGGACTCGCCCTGAAGGGGCTCGAGACAGTCGAGGACCTCGCTTTCGCCTACCCGGACCTCGCAAGTTTTGATACCTTTTTGCAGGGCCTATCCGAGTCGGACCTTAGTGATATGGGGGTCTCGGATGCGCTACATTCAGTCCAGGCGGCTCGAGCCAGGAAAGCCTTGCGGTCAGCCCACAGGGCACAGGAAGGGCCCCTGCCTTCGCCTTCAGTGCCGTCGCTCCCAGCGGCTTTGGCACCCTCGGCCTCCCCATCCTCCTGGATGGAGCACTTGCCGCCTAAGCTTAGTTCTGAGGTCGTCCAGGACCTGGTCACTACCTTCAAGGCCAACTACCCCGGCGAGCTGCTGGACGATGACACCATGCCTTCTATCCGCCTTCTCAGCCTTGTGCAACACAGCCTCCAGCCAGGTGAAAAGCTCAAATGGATACCGTGGCAGCTACGCCTTAGCTCCAAGCAGTATTCAGAAATCATGGAAGCCAAGTCTTCCAAGCCTATGCGGACTGAAGCCCAACTGCTAGCCTCAGCCATATATGACGACACCCCCGAGATGTCAGTATCACACCTTCGCCTCTCGGTGTCGTGGCTGCAGCGCATCCAGACAGTCTTTAGAAATGCCTGGGCCTTGTGCGGTGCAGCCCATCTCAATAACTTGAAAGCCTTTGATAAGCGAGTAGAGCACTTAGCCCTGCCAGATTTAGCCGACTCCTCCCTGCGCGGCCCCACCACACAGGAGCTGCTCGCAGCCGATCGTAAGATCTGGAATACGATCTCGAGCCTTGTGGGGTCGGGATGGAGCCTTGATGAAGCCTTATACGAGGTAACCAGCATCCGCAGCGACCTGGCCAACCTTCTGCAGCCGAGACCACGACCGCCTCCGACTCTGCCTGGACCCAACCGCCGACCCAATGGGGGGAATCCGCCTCCTCCGCCTAGCAAACGCACTCGCCTTAACTCACAAGGCACGGACAAAGGCGGCAAAGGCAAAGGCCGCGGCAAAGGCCTTCAGAAGCCGGATAGCCCATCAAAGTCAGAGTCCTGGCCCTCCAATTGGGTCTTGAAAGCCAAGGGTAAGGTACTCTGCAAGCGCTACCAGAGGAATCTCTGCGCCCTGCCTAATTGCAAGTTTGCCCACCTCTGCGCCGTGCGGGGATGTGCCAAGGAGCATTGTGCCATAGACCACGATAAGAAAGAAACAGCCCCGCCCACGCCGCCTTTTGCGCCCTCAGACAGGCCCACGCCACCGGAGGAGGGCCAGGCGCCTGGCGATCAGCCTCAGCCGCCAATGGGGATCACGTGTCTCCGACACGCCCAGGACGCCGACGTCTGCGCCATAGACCTCTCCTTGGAAGACCCTCAGCACATGCCTGACCTACTTCTCCAAGCCATCTGGGCACGGGTGGTTCTGGGGGTTCTCGCGGACTTGAGCTCCTTAGCGCCACACGTGGAAGAAGCATGCGCATTCTTGCAAGCTATCCGGTCATCAGGGGCATCAGCCATTTTGTTTCTGCCAGCGGACCACTTCCTTTTTCAAGCCTCACCCTTTTCAGAAGCCCTACACGATGGAGGACTCTTCCTCTGCCCGGAGCCCGCCTCGGACAGAATAATCATCTTTACAGCCCCCCTGCCCACTTGGCCGTGCGCGGATATAGGTCTGGCGGCCTTGGAAGCAGCTGGCATGTTGATTCGCGGCTCTTCCGCTGTCAACCAAGCCAGCGCAACCCCTAAACCTGACCTCAGCCTTGCAGCCCCCGGGAGAGCTAGTGCACAACAGAGCCCCCATCTGCGATGGGGCAGGCAACGCCAGCTCAGCAGACTGGAGTAAACCCAAGCCCAGCCCTACTGCCATGCAGAACATCATGAAAGCCTGGCTCGAGTGGGCATCCAAACGGGACTTGCCCAAGCAAATCTTCGCCCACCTTTCGCTAAGCAAGCCAGATCACCCGATCTGCCTCGACGACCAGCTTGAGCTTATCCGGCTAGCGTGCGACGTCATGGATTGGGACTACGATTCCAGGACACAAGCAGCAGAAGGGCAACCATTTCGCCTCAATCTTATGCAAGCCTTCGCAGATCTCTTCGACGACCCCGACAAGAACCTTCCAGCTCTGCTCCGAGTTGGGGTCCACACAGGGGTTTTCGAAGCAATAGAGCCTTCGGGACTCTGGCCCCTAGCCAAGATCCAGCCACTAGCTTCATCGGGATTGGAAGTTTGCGAAGGGAACTGGAAGCCAGCAGAAGCCGACCCTGATACAGTCCGCAGCCTTCTGGCAGAAGAAGAAGCAGCCGGATGGATACAACCGGTTCCAGGTGGCCTTCAAGAAGCCAAACGCCTCTGGCCGAAGGGGATAGCAGTAGGTAAGCTCAGCCTGGTTAAAGCCGACAACAGAGACCCGAGACTGGTCCTCGACAGCACCGTATGCCAAGTAAATCCGATGTGCCGCATTCCTGAAGCGGTAGGCATGCCTACGGTCAATGATGTCCGGGCCACGTTCATGCCCTCCGATCCACGGGGAGCCTTCCTGGCAGCCAGTGTCGACTTCAAAGCAGCCCACAAGCGAGTTAAGGTACACAGCTCAGAACAAGGTCTGCTTCTCTTCATGTTCGAGAAGATTCTGTACCGATATGTAGTCTGCCATTTCGGCGCGAAATTCTCAGCCTACTGGTGGCAAAGGGTAGGAGGCCTTATCACACGTATCGCGCATCATGCAATGGCGTTCGCACCTCACAAAGCCTGGCTCTACGTAGACGATCTGCTGTCAGCCTTGCTCAGGGCCTTCGCGCCGGAACTACTGTTCCTTTTCATCGCCACACTCTCCAGCCTTGCAGCCCCCATTAGCTGGAAGAAAGCCTCTGTAGGGGACAGCCTCATTTGGTGCGGCTGGCACTTTAACTTTCGCCTTGAGACAGTGGACCTGTGTGAGGCCAAGAGAAACAAGCTTTGTGCCCAAATTCGAGCCCTCATATCGAGCAAAAAGGTGCCTAGAAAAGATCTCGAAGCTTGCATTGGTCTCCTTATGTGGGCCACGGCCATCAGCAAGGTCCTCCGAGCCCACGTGGTGCCGTTGTACAGCGTCTTGAACAGCCCGCCGGGCAGCAATTGCTCCATATCGCCTCGCATGTGGCCAGCCTTCCTTTACAGCCTTGACTCCAGAGCCGTGATCTGCAGGTTGATACCCGGTGTCAACCTGCCCCTCAAGGCCCGCATTATTGAAGTCGGCAGCCGACCTGTTCATTGCAAAGCTGATCTGCCGCCGCAGCCAAAATCCTCCGGACCGACTTGGGTACGCATTTCGGACCCTACCTGCCCTGAGATCAAGCTCACCAACACAGCCCACGACAGCCTCCGATGGCTCCTTCCCAGAATTGAAGCCATCCCCACAACAAGCCTGTCCCTCCCTCCGCTTGTCTCATGCCTGGCCAGAGCCGACGCCATGGCGGAGGGGGACAGAATCGGGATAGGAGGCTGGATAACTACGAAGCAAAGCATGGCTTGGTTTGCTGAAGCCTGGACAATGGCAGAGGTCCGCCTTATCTGGCCTTTCCTGACCAAGGATGCACAGAAGTACATCGCGTGCTTCGAACCTGAAATCTAGGGCCCAACGGCCTCTCTTGCGCTGGCTGTGGGCGTGGCGGAGGCACGTACTGAAGGCTCCTGGGCGGCGGTCGAACCAGTGGGTGACTGATTGGGTGGCTGAGTCCAAGTAGGCTGGCTCGCCAGCTGGGGTGCGGCCCCGTGGAGGCCTCCTTTGCTGAGGGCAGGAGGGAAACGTGGGCGGCTGGGTAGAGTCAGGCTGAGCTGTAGCGACCTTGGTCTGATAAGGCTGGCGGGGCAGGCCGCACGGGAGGAGGGCTTGCAGGAGGTGGTAGACCGGGGCAGGCTTTGTGAACTGACTGCAAAGGCAGGAGCACGGCAGCGTCGGCTCCTGGCGGTATAGGGCTCACTGTTGAAACGAAGGCAGCAGAGTCTCTGCGGAAGCGTCTGACCACTGTTGTTTTGTCCTGGCTCGCTCGGAACTGTGCGTGAGAAGCTGGCGGACTTTTTGTGTGCCGGGGCGGCGCTCGTGGTGGCTAGGGCTTGCCGAATGCCTGAGCCTGTGCTGTAGGAAATGTGAACTGTCTGAAATGTCTAGATTGTGAAGGCTAGAAAATGGCTTCGAAGGCTGAAAAGGCAGACGGCAAGGCTGCTTGGAAGAGGCTTGCGGAGGCACGGCTGAAAACCATTCAAATGGGCTACGGCCAAGGTCTGTAAATTCTTTAAAGCGCGAACATTGATGGCCGATATGCTTGTCCATTTGCTCAACCGCGCCAGAGTTGAGTTCACGGCCACAGGCTGAATGGAAAGGACAGAAAGGCACTGTCGAGCAGGGAAGGCCGCAACGCATTTCTCCACGGCTGCCCATATAGTACATACGGGCAAAGGCTGGGTCGAGCTCGAAGGTCTGGGGCAATGTAAGGCTGGGCACAATAATGCAATTGCGCATGTTCGGGCAAGGCAGTCTCGGCAAGGCCATGGCTGGCGGCTTGTACAGGTAGGGCGACTTCGGAGGCTCCACGGTGATATGCTTGCGGCGGTCCACCAAAGGCTCAGGAGGGCGGCTGATATCCTGAAGGCATAGGGGAGGGACTCCTTGCTTTCCCATGTTCCTGGGATTGCCCGTCCCCGTGGCTCCGAGGTGCCAGTAACGGAGGACTCCCGTATCGGCTGAGTACCATTCGGGCAAAGGCGGGCACGGCGGCAGGTCCGAAGGCTCATCGGAGGTGTCGGCTTCCGGATCCTGGCTGGGCTGAGGGGCGGAAGGCTGGGTTTCCGCCAGGGCCTGGCTCAGCTGTGTAAAAGTACGTCTCGACGTCGATCTCGACGGCCGACTTCGGTGGCTCCCCTCCGTAGAAGTTGATCCAGCTCCGGGCGTCCCAAATGACCGCCAGGCCGAAAGGCTTGGGAGGGCGGTAAGGGCCTGCGTAGAGGCTGGCGGGTCCTCTGTCGGAGTCGCTGCGGGCTCGGGCTTGGGAGGCGGGGAGGACTGCACCTGTACCATGGGCTTGGTTGGAGGATCAGGTGACGGGGCTTTGGCAGCATCCGGCAGAAAGGTCTGCTGGGCCGGTGGCCTCCAATTTTGGGGCACCTGGGTCTGTGCAGGCTTGGATGCTGGGGGCTGCTTTGTCGGCGGTGGACTGGCGCCCGCCGGCACGGCTTTGATTGGCGGGGGATCGGCTTTGGCGTGCGGCATGGGAGTGGTGTCAGGCTGGCTGAGAGGGGCGTTGGGGAAGTTAGGGAAGAAATTGGCTGGGGCGCTCACCGCGAACGCATCGGCTGTCAAGTAGGCTCCGGACTCCCGAGCCACGCCCAAGTCCGGCCGTTTGATCAGCTGCCAGAGTTCATGGCGATTAAGAGGCTTTGACTGGGCTTGGGAAAGGCTGTTGGTGGGTGGCTGCTGTAAGGACCGAGGCCATATCTATCAGCTGCCCCATCATGGAATAGAGGCCGGCTTGCGGGGCTGCGTGAAAGGCTGAGGAGGAGGAAGGCGTCTCCATGGGGAGGTACTCCCCAGCCTCCTCAATCGGCTGTTCGGTAACGGCTGCAGCTTCAGTTGGCGGTGTAGGCTCCGCATGCTGGGAAGGCTGGGACGTCTCTGGCTGTGAAGGCTGTGCCGTCGCGGCATCGTCCAGATCCTCCACGTCCTGGGGAGGGATGTAGTCAAAACAGGCTGGAATAGGGCCAGTGTAGCAGCCCTCTTGGGCATGATAGAAGGCTTCCTGGTTCTGGTAGATAACGGCGCTACGTGGGGAAAGGCTGGCAGAACTATCGCAAGGCCGAGTGTCATCCTGCACGGCTGTGTCCGCTGCTGTCTGCGCTGAGGCTGAATGCAAGGCTTTGAGCTTTTCAAGCTCGGTGGGGTTCAGCGTTTTCAGCCAGTCTGCGAAGGCATCATGGTCTGACGCCATGGCTGAGGCTGAAGAAGAGGAAGCTCCTGTTGGTGAAGGCAGCTTTGACTCTATTGCAACCAGGGCAGGCAGGGGTCCTGAGTCTGCTTGCGGTTAATCGGCAGGCGACCTGGCCAGGGCACGAAAGGCACCACACCAAAGAAGGTCTCCTTCTTTGGCGAAGGACCCGGCCTGAACCAGGCTATTGACCTGAGGCGTCGGGCCGGCAAGAAAGGGTGCATGTGCGCAAGCAGAAGGCTCCCGACAGTATTTTGGCAGAGTGCAAAGGCTAGGCTTCTGGGTCTCCTTCGGAGTCCTGCAAGGCTGGTCCTTGGTACTGGCAAGCGTCGACTGCCGCCTCCGTGAGATAGGCTGCTATCGCTGGAAAGGCTTGCTGAAGAGTCAGAAGAAGGCCAGTGAGGTGAGCCTGGCGTATGTATGATCCAGTCGAATTCTGACGGCGTCTATCTTGGCGCTGATAAAAACCCAAGGCGACAAAAGGCACCGAAGGCGCGGCTGCTCGTGCGCCCGACGGCTATGGTGCCACAAGGCTTGTTGGGCGCCACGGCGATCGGCTTCCAGAATGTACGATCGGCTAGTGATTGTAGCGTAGGCTCAGTGATCGGCTCCTGGCTGAAATCCTGATCGGAAGGCTGTGGTTGCAGGGCTTCGTAGGCTGCACTTGTGTCCGGGTCGAAGGCTAAAGGGCCAGAGAGACCAGCATTCATGCGGCCCATGGCAGAAAGGTTGGTCACGTTGGCTGTCGGCTGGCCTTGATTCCATTGCAGGGTAGGGCTGTTGGCGTAGGAAGGCCAAGGAAAGCGCTGGGCGCGCTGATCCTGGCGTCGGGGCTGATGGTTTCCCCTCATACTGTTGAAGCCGAAAGACTGCAGCACAAGTGAGCGCGGGCAAGAAGGCAGGCAGGCAGAGGTCCCAGCGTGATGGACAGGGCGATCAGGATGCACCTGAAAAATCTGCCGAATCTGGTTGGGCGTCAAAAGAAGAAGCGCTGAAGGCTGGGGATGCGGAACATGGCACCGATGGCTGGTCACCTAAGGGCCGGAAAGCAAGAGGGGCAACGAAGCCCGGCCCTGACCAACATTTTGGCACAGGCCAGCACGGGCTTGGGAGGCTGAGGTGCTGGCTTGGGCTCGAAGAAACCTGCCGGGGCAGAGCGAAGCAGCAAGGCCAACTGGAGAAAAGGGCTCATGGATGGTTTGAGGTAACGGCTGGGCTTAACAGGCTTGAGCGTGGGCTTGGCTTGGCTGAGGCTGCAACGACCGGCGCGCTGAAGGTGCCTAAGAGACAGCAAGGCATAGGCTCCCATGCGCTGGGCCCGAAGAGGAGCGGCTGTCTGAGGCCCCGTGGTGTAAGGCGTAATGGCATTGCTAGACTCGCGCCTTGGCAATGCGCTCGGCTACATAATCATGGCACGCCTTATTGAGGAGGCACAAGGCTGCAACTTCCTGGCGGGACTCGGCAAACAAAAGTATATTGCAACAGGGCGCGACTCCGAAGAGGAGGCCCTCAAGGCTCCAGCCAAGGAAAGGCTCGCGAAGGTTCTTAGTTGGAAACCAAAGGACCTTGTAGAGTGGAGGCTGTAAGAGCCAAAGAAGCGGCACCTTAATGGGTGCCCAAGGCAAGGGATGGCGGTACCTCAATCCTGGCGCCTGGCACGGCTGAATCAAGGCTGGAAGCTTGCGAGCTTGTTGTGCGGGTGGAAGGCTGAGGGCTGTGTGGCGCCAGCCAAACGCTGCTAGACCCCTGGCTGGCAGAGTCTGAGACACGCGGTGAAAGGGCAAAGCGCTCAAAATAGGCTGGAGGGAGGAAATAGTAACTCTGATAACCTCCCCCAAGAGGCAACTGTGCAGGCTGTGGCGCGGGCTGAGGCGGCGGCTGAGAAGCTGCGGCTGATGAAGTCGCGCGAGATGCTCCCGGGGAAGGCTCTGAATCCGGCTCGGCTGATCGGGGCCCGAGCCAAGCCGATCCCGAGGAAGGCATCTGGGGCAAAGACGAGAGACCTGAAGCAGGCATCAATCAGAAATGTCCAGATGAGACACGACATATTCATGCGTCTCCTGAGATAGCAGGGCTAGTGGCAGCCAGGAGGGTCCACCGGAGAGCAAGAGAATGCGGGGCCCGACCGTACCTGAAAGCAGAAGGTCCTGCAAGCAAGGGCTTTGGGGCTGTCCCATAAAACCGGGCAAAGGTAAGGCCTCAAGGAGGCCTGGCAAATTCCAACTGTAAGGCAAGATTCTCAAAGGCACGAAGCAAGGGTCATGGCGACCCAAGGCCATGGCTAAGGGCCCGGCGGCCGCCTGATGCGCAACAGTATCAGAAAAGCATCTCAATCATGAGCTGGTGGCACTCATCGCTGGCTAGAACGAAAGGGAGCCACTCATGAACGTGAAGGCAGACTAGTATACGAGGGCAGACTGTCCAGGAGAAGAGGAACTCCTGGAGGCAAGGCTCCAGAGGCTGACCCTCGTGCGGAGCCAAGGCAAAACACTCCTGAAAAGTAACGACGTACCACTGCCAGTCGTGCAAGGCAAGTCGAGCTGGGGCAAAGGCAAAGTCCGGGGGACGAGTCCACCGCGGAGGCAAAGACACAGGCCTAGGCGAAGGCGGGGCTTGATCGAGCTCCCACTGAAACATGCTGAGGGGCACAACAACCTGTTCTCCGTAACCGTTGTGTTTAGGAAGGGCGCTGTGAGCGAAGTTTACAAAACTCAGTTCCCTCATCAGAAATTTTATTGCCCAGAAGATATATTGGGCAAACGGAAATATCGGCGAAGGTATAAATGCACCGACGGTATCCCCGGAGAATATGTGGGGTATAAATTCTCATATCTTGCTTTCGCCTCTTGGGACTCCAATCAAATGTATCCTCGCCACTTAATGATGAATATCTAAAGAGATAGCAACTGCCGAAAGGAGCACGCAGGATGTTTTCAAACGGATGGCGGCAGGCTCACGCAGGCATCTAATTCTTGAACAGGTCTTTGACGTGTCGGGAAGGCGCACCTGTGTGCCTGTGCCCCCCCTTCCGCAGGCCGGCACGTCACCAAGGAGACTTCTCTCTCTTTCTCTTGCCTCTGAAGCGTGGCCTGCCACCGACCGTGTCGCGGATGGAATCCACTTCACGGCTGCTCAGCTGTGCACGCCTGGCTTCGTAAAGAGTGTGAAGAAAGGAAAGCGGCAATTCGGAGTACTGCACTGGGACCCGCAACTCCTCAGAGAAACGGTCGAAGATTTCGTTGGTTAAATCATCGGCCTCCTGATTTTCGTCCCGTGGACGCCATCCCAAGTTCAACCGCAAGCCGGCCTTCATGAGAACATGGGTGAGCTGCATGTTCACCATGAGCAAGGGCCAGCGCGTTGTAGAACCCTTGCGAGTCAAGCCCTCGTTAGACTTATTATCCGTCTGAGCTAGAACCTCAACCTTCATCAAACGCCTAGTTGGCCCGGCTTCAAGGTGACCGAAGATGTGCAGTGCAGCCAGCGTGGCCAGCAATTCAGCCGATGCCGAAGCCCACTGACTGTGACCTTCTGAGTCAAAGAGGTAAGGGGCCTCTGAGGGAGTAAGTCGAAGTGAGAACCATCTGGACTCCTGAGTTGTGCCTGCGCAATCCCAACCCCCAAGGACCACGTACCCGTCCGCGCACTTTGCATCAGTGCGGAAGGCCACGCCTTCTCTTTTGACCGATCTTGCTGCGGCGACCTTGAACGTCATGTCCCTGAACGTGAGGTCAAGATATTCAAGAGTAAGGATGACGGTGTCGGGCATCCGAGCGACTGAACTGTCGTTCACCGCTGCCCTCCAGCTGTAAAGCGGTGCAAGGTGTGCCTTAAGCCAAACCAAAAGCCGAGCGACGAAGCCCAGTCTCCCTAAGAACTCAGCAAACCTGCGAACCGAAACAACAAACTTCGAGGACCGAGCCTCAGCGATCCATTTCAAGAGCCACTGGCCCCGCGACTCCGAAATTCCGACCCTCTGGTCTGGATAAGAAAGTTCGTAACCCACAAAAGCCGAAGTGAGCCCACCGCGGAACTTCTTGTATGCGAAAGGTGTGCCAAACATCTCGAAGCATGCTAGCCACATGAGCAAATGATGAAATTTCTCCCTTCCTGCGAAGTTGGCGTGAACATCATCTACGAAGACGAGGTGATAGAACCACAAGGTCAAAAGAAAGCGCGCGGTGCAGCGGCCGATGATTCCAAACAATCTAGACCAAAGGAAGGCGGATGATGATATACCGAACGTTCCTACTTTGTTGTACCAAACGACCGGCGTGTCGTTGCGCACCTTACAGCACAACAAAGGCCAGTCGGCCTCTCTGACAAGGAACAACCTGTGAGCCGCCGTCACATCGCCGGTGAGGCAAAAGGTGGCCTCCTGACTTTGCTTTGCGCTGCGCACAAGGTGAACTACCTCCTGGGGTCCGGGATTGGATTGCTGATTAAGTAGCCTAATACCATTGTTGACATGCACACCGTGGGTGCCATCGTGTAATGGCCGAGCGGAACCGTCTGGTTTAATCAAGGAACCTAAAGAAGCTATCCTAACCCTATCCCGCCCGTACTTTTGCTCAAGAACCGGCAACGTGGAAGGCGCCATGCGCCCAAGAGCCTCTTCCTCTGCAAACTTCTTCTCAAGCTGATCCGACGTTTCGTTTGCCGACGAATAGTTCTCGCGATGCCACTCGGCATCCGATTCATCGAGCTTGCGGGACTTGTGTTTGTACTCGTACACCTGTGGCAAGTGAGGCGCGGGGCAGTCATAACCGATCGCGACCCCGCTGACATAGGAGTCCTCCTGGCAAGAAACGGCTTTCCAATCTGGGTCCTGCAACAGCCGCGCTGTCGCAGACACAGCATGCAAGAAGAATGGCTGGCCACTCGGCACCACATCAAGATCCGTACACTTGCCTCCCGAAGCAGCCTCTATGCAACTAAACCAATCCTTCCTAAGGACCCCTAACATCTCGGGAGTGAAAGGCGATTCCTTAAGGCGGCCTAGCGCAAGCTCCATCGCCGTGCGTTTGATATCAGGCACAACGTCCGCTACAAAGTCTCGAAGCACTTGATGCATGGCAGTGGCGAACTCCAAAGCCTGCTTGGGCAGCAGGCCCCCCCTGGCTTCCGGAGGCCATCTAGTGGGTGAGCAGAGTCCAAAGCCATCCGTGATCGGCTGAGTTTTGCCATCCCACTCGAGGTTCAAAGGCAGCCCGATGTTGTGGCACTCCTGATGCTTGAAGGGCTCCGGTCTTTCGACCTCACCCCCCTCCAGCACCTCCGAATCATCTGACTGGACCGCCTCAAGATCAACACTGTGCTCTTCGCCCGGAAGGACGAAACCATGCCCGCGAAGAAACGCGAGATCCTCATCGCATGCCTGAGTATGCTCCGATACACTGAAAGCTATGATGACTAATCTCTTACCTTTCCAGGGCATTGTGAGGTGAAGATCGCGGTAGGCATGTATGTAGGTGGGTGTCTCACTGATCGGAAGAAGGTGACCACTTAAGCGCTTACCGTCAACAATCTGAACAGACTCCCCATCCTGGGCCTCGACCCAGATCTCTCCTCCTACGAAGTCAGTAACCCCTATTATCCCATTGGGCAAAGGTGCGTTCCTGGAGTCTTTGTGGGGCTTGGTGCCAGTGTTAAGGTAAAGGCTAATCGTGGTAAAGGGGTGCCCGGGCATGTTGCTACGCACGAAGGATGCCAATGCTTCTGTGGAAGCCGGGAAGCCTTTGCACGCGGACCTGAGCCCGATCAGGCCTCCACCCTTCCGGTACAAGCCTGTCGAAAAGCTGCTAGGAACCCAGTTAGAGGACACCGCCGACCTAGGCGGAGTCTCATGCGGCAGCAGTTTGAAGAGAGCATGGACCTCGGCCCGAGTCGGGGCTCTCGATGAAGAAATGATGCGTGCGAACTCCTCGGCTTCAACTTGTTTCTTAACCCCCCTAGGTGCTGCCTTCGGCTGCGGTTGCCCCGAAGAGTCTGGCGACGGCAACAAAGGGGAAGGAGGTGCTTCCGACTCGATCAAGCCAACCGCCTCTACCCTATCAGTAACCGCCTCTACCCTATCGGAAACCACCTGGTGCAGCCCCTGCGGCACTTCACATAAATCCTGATGCACCTCCTGCGTCGCCTCGTGGGATTCCTGCATTGGACCTGCCTCACCTGGAACGGAGCTGTGCGGCGCTGACCCAAGTCCCCCCTGCGAAGCGGAAGCAAGCACAGCATGCGCAAGCCACTCACACAACAGAGGAGGATAGGCTGCTGATGACTCGGTCGCCCAGCGGGAGCCTTCTCGGCCTGCAAGTACTTTGTCGTGTTTCCCGTGCGGGCAGCGTGGCGGCAACGGCCCCACGTAGCGATCGCTGGAGTCGAAGCGTGGCCATGAAGCAAAAGGCGGAGGCTGCTCGACAAAGGCCCGTAGATTAGTGAGAAGGCGTGTAGGTTTGGAAGTGGGAGCCTCAAAGCCGCATTGAAAGAAAGCAAAAGTGATGGCCTGAGTGGAAACCTGGAGCTCACGCAGAGCTGGTAGCTGCCAAATGGAAGCCGGTAACTCGTGATCCGGCGTTGCGCCGAGATCCTCCGGGTGCTCCAGGACATACTGCCATGCAAGTTGACATGCCGTCACGGTCTGATCAAGAAAATAATTAGCCTGCTCCACCTGCTGCGCGTGCAAATTGCTTAACCATGGAAAACCTCTAGGATAAAATGCTGAACGTAGTGGCTTTGGCCCGGGGTGGCGATGCCGGACTCTGGAAAATGTCTCACAAGGAGGAGAGGCAATGAGGATCCAATCCCCTTCGCCAAGCAATTGAAAGATGTGCTGCCACAAGCCTTCCTTAGTCAAGTCATGCTCCGTGGAGCGCTGAAGATCGAACTGAAGAAGGTTAGTGACATTGCCCAACGACTGAAGGTAAGAGCCCACATCACCTTTGCGACGGGGCCCCGCGAAAATGTAGAGCACACGAAGCCCGCTCGGACTGTACAGCTGAGGCTGGTAGGCGATGTGATCTGATGTCTCAATGGTAGAAACCGAATCATGCGATAGTCACTCCTTGGGCTTGCCGGTCTTAAGCTTATGCTCGGTCGCTGAGTGGGGCTGATAACAGCCCTTGACCCGGCACACGTGCAAGCGTTCGCATGAAGGATTGGTGCAGCCCTGCGAGTTGAATGCAAAGCAGATGTCGCGGCCCTCCGGCGTGCGCCAAACCAACTGAAGGCCCTTAAGAGCCGGGTCCGAGGGGCTTTTGCCGTTCTTGCCCCCCTTGGAGTCTTTGCCCTTGCCGCCCTTTCCTGTCTTGCCTCCGTCCTTGCCGTCCTTGCCCTTCCCCTTGCCTTTGTGCCACTTGCGTGGTCGCTCAATGATGGACAAGGCGAGCGGCGTCGTGAAGTAGGTCTCCTTAAGCTCCGCTGAAGAAATGACTGAAGCCAGAGCGCCTGCCAGAGTATAACCCTGATCATTGACCAGACGGAAAGCCTCCTTGCGCAACCGGTGCTCATAGGCCAAGACTACTTCCCAAGGTGGCGAAAGTGAAGGCACATCGGCTGGCTGATGAGACGTAGGCACTGAGAGCTGAGCGACCTTTTCGCCAAGGATGTAGTTCACGAAGTGGTCGAAGTCAGACAGCTTGAGATCCTGAAGCCACTGCTTGGATTTAAAGCGGGATGCCATGCATAGCCATGTGAAAGCTTCCACGCGAAGGACCTTGCGATAAGCTTCTGTAGTAGTCGGGAGCTCACTCTTGGATTTGTGCTGAGTAATATGAATTCGCCCCGAAGCGTCAAGGCTGGACTGGATGCTCGTGGTGAGCGTGTTCTTCTTCGAAGTTATGGCATCCAAGGTTGAAGCCTGAGGCTCATTGGCTTCGCACTCCTCGCACTTGAGAGCGAGGTACTCAGACGATGGAGTCTCCGACTCTCCCAGCTGCCCGTGAACGGCCGCTACCGCCTTGAGCATTGCTTGCCTCTCTGTGACTTGCAAGATTCGCGGCTGGCCTAACACTTTCGCCTCTGCTCGTGTTTCCGTCTCTTTGCTGATTACGTCGCGCGCAAGTTCCCATGCAGCGACGACCCCCGCGATTTGTTGTCGCCCATCAGCAGCCCCATCATCAAAACCAAAGTCCGCCTTCCCAGCAGCCCGAGCTTCCGGCCGGGAATCGGCGATTGCCTGGAATCGCCTAAGTGTTGTATGTCGTTGCACAATGCGATACTGGGCATCCAGAGACAAGCCAGCTTCTCCAAGCACAAACTGCAAATCGCTATCTGCTTTGGTTATGAGCTCGCGCTTCTCGGCATCTGTGGCGGCCATTGCGACAACAGTAACTAACTCCCGCTACTCCTGATGCGAAGGCCGCGCCCCGGCCTGTGGCCCTGTAGGACTTGGATTGCTAGCCGCCCTGAGGCCTTTAGCTGCACTGCGATGTGTCCCCCCGTCGCCCTGCGGCCTGTGACAGGATGCGGAATCCGCCGGCACCTCACGGCCTGCGCCGAGTGAGACTTCCTCCTGCTTGAACAGCGCCAGCACGTGCACTTAATCAGCATGAACTGTTATCGCGAAACAACTTCAAGATGCCCTGAGAAAAGTCAGCATGGACTGTTATCGTGGATCTACTTCAAGGCGCCCTTGCATAAGCAACTCATGCCAACTTCTGGCTAGGACTTGCAGGGCACAGCCTATCCACAGCAGTCGAAAGCATCTTTTGCCTTCACATCGACTCGCTCCCACTGTCACTGCTGGAGGGGTCTGATTCCTCCTCTCCGGCCTGAGCCTTCATTCTTGCTTTGCAATCTTTGCAAATGTTATCGACGTCCTCCGCGCCGACATGACTGACAAATTTCACATCATAACAATTCTCAGGCTTGACATAGCAGCCCAACATGTGCAGACGCCTCAGGCCTGTGGTGCGAGAGGTAACGATGAAGTAATCCCCCCGGCTGCCTGGCATCGAAACCTGCTCGACTGGAGAAGGTGGTGCCGCAACACCCACTTCCAATGCCAGAGTTGGCCACGATCCGCCCAAGCCTTTGGATCCCTCGAGGAGGGTGTGACGGCGACGAACCTGAGATTCGCTCTCCCCCGCCTTAGCTGCATAGTCCGTCAAAGCCTTGATGGAATCCACCTCGATGTAGTGCTTTGGCTGTCCGGTGACAAGGGAACAAGCAATGTGACTCTGGAGACGATGCACAACCTGCCTAGAAGTGCGAATGTAGGTTGCAGAACCTTCGCCACCTACCTTCCAACGACCCAGATAATCAAGCTCCCTGGGGTCGACATCGATGGCCGCTCCGACCGAGCTAAGGAAGTTCCTCGCAGAATGTCCCGTAAAATGACTGGAAGTGTATCCCGGGAGCAGCGGACGCTGATCATTGGCCTTCCAGGTGCGCCCCTCACGCTTGGGCGTTTTCAACTCACTGAGAACTTTGCGGAAGTAAAGGGCCACCGTGGAGGAAGGCACCGACTTCTCCAGGGGTTCCGTGAAACCTTCATTGGCCTTCAAAACCAGATAATCCCTCTCAAAATCGAAATCCTTCCAAAGTGCATATCCGACCTTCAGCCAATCATGCCCTGTCAGAGAGATACTCCGTTCCACGAAGACCTTGACGGTGTGGGTCCTTTTGTCGGGCCCTGTAGTCTTGGACCGCGCGAGATCAATGCTAAGCCCTCGCTCGTCCAGAAGCATGGTCTGCGGCAGGAGCCCCTGAACATCATCAGCCCGAAGCGACCCCCAAACCATCAATAAGCAGACAAAGCCCAATGCTCTCAAGTAACTAGGCTCCCCAGGCGTGCAAACGAAGATCTCACATGCGAGGACGATAGCAACAGTGAGCATGCTGGCTGGCTGCTCCGGCGGTGCCGCCGAAACCAAATTGGCTGTGTAACTTTTGAGCTGCGCCTGCCATGTGGGATCCTGAGATATCTGCTGCGTAGACGGCACGCGCCCTACACCTTCAATTACACTGAGAGAGGCTTGCAGGCTTTCGAGAACTGTCTTTCCACATCCTTCCTGGAATCGTTCATTGGCATAATCTAACACATCAGCTACCCCTTCCGGATAGCTCCTGCCACGGCTATAAAGCAACCATTCCCGAAACTTGCCCCAAGCCCTAAAGCGATTTCTCAATGTCTTGGATCGACGGGTCCCGAACAGCCGTGGCCAGGCTTCCTCGGCATTGCTGACCCCTGCAAGCACCTTGCACACCGGCAGTTGCGCCTCCTGCATGATGGCTGCAAGACGCAATGCATACTCCTGCCGAAGTCGTATCTCTTCAGTGGCCCTGGCACCGCGATCTACGACCCTATCAGTAGCTAACTTCCGCTTGCGAAGAACCGGAAGCAACGCAAGTGGACTCTGAAGTGCAATCTGATTGTAATGCTCATGCAAGCTAAGGCCAGTTCCCGGGACACTGGGCAAGCACTCTGTCAAGCGCCTCCTTGATTCCCTGCGCCCACTCGCAACTGTGCGGGCATTGTCTGCATGCCATTCAAGAAGTGCATCCGCAATCAACTGCAGGCTACTTTCAAGAAGCGTGTTATCGCAAGCCCTAAGCAATGATACAAGCTCTTCCCTCGTGTCGAATGAGGCATACAATTTCTCAGGCGTGCTAAACCACTCTTCAAGGCGGTTGCGGTATGGTGGCACTAAAGCGGGCCATCCGAGTCCTGTGCCACTCATGGCCGACCATGGGCCGCAGGGCCACCCTTCTACCGCTTTCGTAGTCCTAAAGTATGGAGCTACCGTGAAGCTAAGCTGTCCAGTCATGCGTCACAACGATGCTTGTGAATGCTAGCCCCATACAATCAAAATTTTCCCTGCTCCTGAGCCTGAGCTCTGCGTCCATGATAAGCATTGAGATTGTGCGCGCACTCAGCTTCTGGCTCAATTCTGAAAAGCGCACGATACGTAAATAAAATAGAAACTCAAAACTGCTCAATAAAACTTTTCTCTTTGAAACTGCGGAGATCTTCGAGTTGGTCTAGTCGAGGGAACTCCTCCTACCCACAGAGACACCCCGCCCCGCCCACCCAAAACGTTTACTCTAAACAGCGCCGCCGGGCAAGCCCGGCAAGGCATGTGCCGGCAACATGGCTGGACTCTAAGGCAGAGACAGGCAGGCTACAGGGCTGTAGCTACGGCTAAATCTCGCTTTTCGAGAAAACTTAAGTGCTAGAGCCAGTGCTGCGATGTGCTATAGATTCACATGCCTTCTAAAACATACGTGAACAAAAACACGAAACGTTTTCCGTCTGTTCCGAAGTGTCTCCAAGCACATTCCAATCCTAAGTTGAAGTGTCGAACCAGTTTTTTCGAGCCTGCGCAACAGCATCTCCAGATGTCAGCAACCTCACGCACAACGCTTGCTGCGAATCGCAAACACGGGGATTTTACTCCAGAAGTTCAAGACCTGTTCTCAAAATGGATTGACTTTGGAGGAAGTCTGAAAATCTCAGTTGTGTTTATCATTGTGTTTCGGCTTCTCCCACTGGACAGTCGTCCGGTTCATCTCAACGTCTCTCAACGTCTCTCAAGTTTGGTATGTACGGCTTGGCCTGCTACAGGGCTGAGGGAGAGCCAAAAACACGAGCAACAGCAAGACTGCAGAGAGGACTTGTAGGCTTTTACATTTCTTGACCACAAGCAGAGAGACTTGAGCCAAGCCTGCAAGGCAAATGCGACCCTGTGCCCAGAGGGACCGAGAGCAGTGGCGCAGAGAGGGACGATTGGAGAAGATGGAAGCCAAGTGTCGCTTCATCATGGCTTTTCTGGTCTACCAACTCGAGGGACGAGTCTGAAGCATGGTCTATTTCTGCCCAATGGATTGCAATGCCTCCGTTTGACAGGATAGGTGTCCATCAGAACATTTCCAAATTACTTCGCTAGACGACACAACAAGGTTTAAGCATCTTCATTTTGATATGGAATCTTGTGGGATACATCTGTGTGCAAAAATTCGCAGAGCAAGTCTCTTTTCACTCCATGCTTGAGCCAAACACCGAAGTGTTCAGCAAGGTCTCTTGCGGAGTCTCGCGCAGCAAATTCCGTCTCAACTTTGCTAAACAAAGGAGGAATGACATGCAACTGTCCTAACACTTCTCAGGACTTCTGTACTCACTCAAACAGCAGTGCACAGCCACTCTGTCCCTTGGCCTATTCCTACCGGCACGAGCGAAGCGAGGGTCGGCGGAAAACAGCGACAGGTGCAGTCAGAGCAACACGCACTTCTTCAAGGATGCTCCAAAGCATCTCTAGTGCAGTAAGCGCTCATCATGTTCTTCCAAACAACTGCAAACATGCCAAAATCATGTGTTCACCATGCACATGCCTGTTCAAGCTTCCAAAACAAAACAGTTCAAGGCAAAAAGGATGAAACCCTTTCTCATGCGCAAAAAATAAACATGTCAGTACTCAAGGGCAACCTAAAAGGAGCAAACTTTTCTGACGTCTTGGGCGAGGTCTCGCTGCCTTCGGCGGGTGAAACGGGTCGGCTACTCGCCCACCTTTAGTGGGCCTGGGACTTTGCCCTTTGGGGTCTTTTGGCCCGCCTCACCAGAGGTTTAACCGCTGGTGGCTGGAGAGCTTTGTCAGTAGCACCAGCCTTTTTAGCTACACACCAGCAGAGCTGGTCACTACTGACACCAGTGCTGTTGAGTCTCAGCGACTGGTTTGGCCCTACAGCTGGGGCTCTTTGGCCCAGAACACCAGCTGAGCGGGTTGCTACTTGGCACCAGTTTCCTGGGTTTTCACCAGCAGGGCTGGTACTGGTAGCACCAGTTCTGGCCGTTCTGGGCAGCTTACCCGGCCTTTGTACCCCTACGGAAAAGGTTTGACCAGCCAGGTCTTCCCTGGCACCAGGTCGTGAAGGTACCCGTCCGGGAGGAGGGGTTGGCCGAGGACCCCTTCTGGGCTAAGTGTAAGCACGTTGGACTGAACGAGAATGTGAAGCAAGTTCTCGTAGTCATCCCGAGGGAGTCGGGATTTGGCGTACACCTTCAGGGCGTGTGTCACGTGCTCAAGACTGGAATGGTACTGTTCCACCAGTCCTTTGAGCTCGGCCTTCATCTCGGAGTCATGCGCGGCTATGGTCTTCCAAAAGCCTGACAACCGAGTTTGGTTGGGCCACTGTGGGTGTTGCCCTGCTTCCTCGTAGGCCTGCCAGCCATTGACATCCAGGATGACAAGTTCGGGTGGTACCTCAGACCCGGACCGGAGGTACCGGAGGCCGAGATTACCTCCTCTGACATCCTTGATGTAAAGGATTTTTGGCTAGTAAGGCTACGGTAAACATAGCTTGGAGTACCTGGAGGTCACTGAGTTGCTGTGGCAACGGGGTTACTGCCTCCATTTCTATGAGGGTAACCCATAAGGCTTCCTGGTTTGCACCAGGTCCTTGCTCCCACAGCTGGTGCACACCAGCATGCTTGGTGAGTCCTGGTGTCACTGCACCAGTCACTTGGCACACACGGACCTCCTGTTCTTGTGGATAGGTTGAGAACTTCCACACTACTCCAGCTTTGTGCGGCGTGTAGGTCACTATACGTGACCCTCCAAGTCCCACCACCACCAGGTTTAACCTGGTTACACCAAGTGTGTCAAGGCTGAAGTACTCCACCTTAGCCTGGTCCTTGTACCTACTGTGGCACGGCTTTACATCCTTCCGCATCTGGATTGTGAAAATAAAGGTGCGTGAGTAGTCAGGCACAGGATTGTTGACAGCTGGCCCACTCGGGGCCACCCGTGCCATTGTGGGCTCACTAGAGGAGCCTACGCCTTCTGGTGTTTTTACATGCGGGTGTGGGCTTGGTGAAGGCTCTGAAGGTGGGGCCTCCTCAGTTGTTGGACCCACAAGGTCCTCCTGTGGCTCCACCTTTGGTGGCTTGGCCTGGTTATCACCGGGGCTTTTTGGTTCCTGGGCTGAAGGTTCAACCTGAACCTCAACGGTAGCCCGGGGCTTGGGGAGCAAACTTTTCTTCGTGAGCGGCCTGCGCGCGCCGCCCGTAGGCCTTGTCCGTCATGCACTTAATTACCATGGGTTTTCCATGGTCTTCCGCCCCGGTCGGAGCGGGCATCGCCCTCAGGCGGAAAAGGGAGCTACGTCCTACGGGAGAGTAAACTCGTCCCAGATGTGCTAAGGAGTGTGAGCGAGTCCAGGGGAGCGTAACGCGTCCCTGCTCTGCACTACGGAGCCTACGGGAGGGAGCGCCCCGTCCCGCAGAGCTGCACACCAGAGGAGTGAGACACGTCCTCACCGGGAGTGCTACACGTCCCAAGGAGAAAAGGCCGTCCCCTGCAGAGCAGAACAGGAGGCTCCCGTGTTCCCGCTCTTACGGAGCAGGGCCGAGTACCTGAGCCGAAACTCGTGCTGAGCTGATAAGAACCGTGAAAGACAACCAACCAGAAGCTCTCCGAGCAAAGCTGGAGGATGAAGTGGTCGAGACCCGCCGGAGCGAATCTCTTAACCACCGCTGCGCACGGGTGTCCCCACGCCACACGCCTCGAGGAAGGGCAGTGCCGCAACAGGCCGGCCCTGACGTTAAGGAGGCGGCCGGTACAGGCGCCCGCGGAGTAAAGCTGACAGGCGTAAACCACGGGAAAACACTGAAGCACACCGTACCCCGGAGGGGAGGCCTCCCTCGACAAAAAAGCCACGTGTCGTGGCGTCCGGCAGGAGCAAACTTTTCTTGCGCCAAGCTGAAAGCCGTCCGAGACGCGATGTTCGCGGATGAATTCAGCATGCATTCTGGTGAGAAACCTCAGCCCCTTTGGGCGAGGGCCGGCCCTACGACCTAGAGGGTTGGCTAGCTACGCCCGCCAACCTCAGTCTCTTTGGACGAGGGGAGGCCCTAAACTGTACAGGGCGGGTTTCTACCGGGTCCAGGCTTCTGCTCAGCCTCAGGGGTAACCTCAGCCACGAAGGTGAGGAAGCACTGGACAGAGGCTCAAAAACCCAGACAGGCGCTCGAAAGCCTGGCATGCCTCCTCAGCGAGACCATCCTCCATCTGCTGCCGGCGGCGAGCCACGTAGGCTGCGGTCAAGCGAACGTGGCGGGCAGTCATCATGTGCCATTGCATGATCTCGGGGTTGGCACATGCAACAACAGGCGAAGCACCGCAGGCCGTTTTCCGAGATCATGCAAGTAAGGTTCGGACGGTGGGCCGGTGCCACCTTGAACCTCATGGTGAGGAGCCGGAGAAGGTGGCTCAGTGGCGAAGGTCCAGACGGGTTGGCGGGAGCAGTGCTGGTCTCCGGCCCTTCGGCCATGGATGCAAGAGGCTCTTGCAGGGCTACAAACCTCAGGTGAGGTAGGAGGCATCGCGGGCGCCTTGGGCGTCACACTGCTGGCAGCATCGGAGACAACCTCAGCCTTAAGCGAGGGAGCAGGGACAGCCTTAGCAGCGGAGGAAGGAGGGGCTCGGTTACCGGGTGGAACCCAGTTTCCGCACCCAGGAGAGGAGGAGCTTGTGGAGGGCTGCAGGGTACCCGTGAAGGGGTCTCGGGGCGAGGGACCTGAACAAGCCGCAGCGGCCGAGACGAGGAGAGGCTCCTCGCGTCACTACGCCTTCCAAGTCCAAAGCGGCTTCCTTCGGATGGCCCCCTCGCTCCTACAGGCTGAGGTTTCGTCTGCAACCCGGAGCCGGCTCCCTCCATGCTGCCTCCCCGCTACCCCCTGTGTGGT